GATATCTGTTGTTTTTACTTCTGGTTTGGTGTTCAGATAAATAATAAAGACCCAAATGAGCATCATTTAGCTAGTACAGGGATGGGGAAATGTGTGGCCCTTAGCTGTTGCTGGACTACAGCTCCTATCTTTGACCATTGGCATGTGGAAGAATCCAGGTTCAGCCCCGATGCCTTCAGTCAAAGGATCTCTCATGGTACAGAAAGACCTCTTCCTGAGACCCCTCAGAGATGTATCCTCCTGTATCTATAGAACTGGGACAGATAGGTCATTGGAGAACTTGCTCCCCCCTCCCCAAGTGTTGCTAGATTCCATTAGTCCCAGTGAACATGGCCTATGGCCAGGAAAAATGGCATTTGTAGCACAATGGTGTATGGAAGGCCACAGCTTCCCCATCCCTGAGATAGTAATTTCTACCATTCAGGAAGGCTTACAATTTTTCAGCCTCAGCACCATATAGCTGCACAACTCACTCTTTTTCTGCTGCATTTTCTTAGCACAGTTTTGAACTGAAACTACATTGCGAAATGCAGAGATGTGCGCAATCTGATTGATAGCTGTGTTCAGATTCAGGATGGGCAAATTAGGTCGCTTTGCTTCAAAAATGCAGAGTGAACAAACTTGTCCTCCATCCCTAGTGTGAAATATACCCCTCCCCAGGTAGGCTTTTGGTATACATGGGATACACATGTACTAGTTCTGAGTCTGTTCATAAACCATTTATTACAGATACACTCACAGAAACACTTTTAGTGCCAAATCTTAAAATGTTTATGCGGCACTTTCTGGTGGGAGATCAATAGAAATTTCCATGAAGCATTGACATTAAAAATATGCACCGCGTCAAGATGGAGTGTGGCTGCAGTATAAATTGAAAAGACTTGGGGTTTGTGTGTGTGGATTTCCTAAGGGGAAGTGTCAACTTGGCAGGAATGTAGAGAAAGCCATCTGAAACTGTCGCCATTGCTGGTCCCATCTGCTGGGTGTCTAAAAGTGCTTTGCACTAGCTCTTAACATCAAGCTGGTGCCAGTCTGATACAGCTGCAGTACTCCACTGCTTTCCTCTGACGGTACTGGGGCATTTTAGGAAATGAAGAGGCATCTATGTTCTATAAGGAATCAGATGCTGCATTCATTAAGATTAGATTGGGATACCCAACTTGCACTTGTAATGGTGCAATCTTTTTGCCAACACCTGGAAAAAATAGATTAGATGCTTGGGGCATTGGAGTAAACTAGGGTCATAACTTTATTTACCTTTTAATACAACAAACCTATATCTTGCCCAAGGCAACTGAAAGCAACTTACAACCAAACAGTGACAAACAAACAAACAAAAACCCCACAGAGATACATTAAAACCGGGGGGAGAGGGGAAAAATAAATTCAAAACATCCCACTCAACATAATTCGGCAAAGACTTCAGCTATAAGTGTTCTAAAGTTAAAGCAGTGGTTCAAACAAGTGGAATAAATGCAGAGAAGAACTCAAAGGATGACACCACTGCTTTCTGAAAGACAAACCATGCAATTAAAGGCTGAAATAATTTGATATTTTTACTCTAGAGAGACATAGATTGAGGGAGGGAAGTTCAATCCATCAGTTGTTCTTCTGCCTTCATACCAAGTGAAGAAATGTAATCAGCAGCACTGTCAATGTATCCATCCCTACCTTAAGCCCACTCCAAGCTACAATGCAAGATTAATTCACATCCCCGCGCCCCCCATACATTTTTTAAATAAAAAAACTGTTACCAGAATAGATTTATCTGACTGGTTTGCTTCAAGTATCTTAGAAGCTACGGTTTAATAAATTGTTGGACTGGCAACCCAGTCAGATGAGCGGAATAATAATAATAATAATAATAATAATAATAATAATAATTCACACTACTTGCTTGTTTTATATGCCTGTTGTCTTTGTCCATGGGGTTTTCTTGGCAGGGATACTGGAGTGGCTTGCCGGTTCCTGCTCCAGGTGGATCATGTTTGGTCAAAACTCTCCACTATGACCTGTCCATCTTGGGTGCCCTGTTCGGCATAGTTCATAGCTTCTCTGAGTTATTCAAGCCCCTTCGTCACGGCAAGGCAAGGCAAGGCAAGGCAGTGATCCATGATAAACCTATCCATTCTTAAGGAAATCAGCCCTGAGTGCTCACTGGAAGGACAGATCCTGAAGCTGAGACTCCAATACTTTGGCCACCTCATGAGAAGAGGAGACTCCCTGGAAAAGACCCTGATGTTGGAAAAGATGGAGGGCACAAGGAGAAGGGGACGACGGAGGACGAGATGGCTGGATAGTGTTCTCGAAGCCACCAGCATGAGTTTGACCAAACTGCGGGAGGCAGTGGAAGATAGAAGTGCCTGGCATGCTCTGGTCCATGGGGTCATGAAGAGTCGGACACGACTAAATGACTAAGCAACAACAACAACAACAACTTGCTTGTTTAGCTGTTGTTACATTGTTGCTATGTTCATTTATGAATTGCTTTCCATAAGGCAATTTAGCAACACACACACACACACATAATCTCAAGTCCAATAGTTTAAGGCAGGCATGTCCAAAGTCCGGCCCAGGGGCTGATCGTTTTAATCCGACCTCCCAAGCAATTCTGAGATATGACTCTGTTGCTGCTCGCCTTGCTCTCCCCTGGAGCCAACGCTCCACCAAAGCCATTTCTCTTCACCAGGGAAATGGTGTTGCGGGCTCGTCACAGAGCTCTCCCATGGTCACTCCTTGGGTCAACCAATCTGGTCAGCTGGGGGGCATGGCCTAACCCCATTTAAGCAGAGTGCGTGGGAACTTGTCCCTTTCTGCTTTCCTCCACTTTCTCTCAAGCATCGATGGAGAGCTATAGCTCTCCAGCATCGACTCTCGCTGGATGCTCCTGGGAGCAGGTAATGTGTGCTTCAATTAGTTTAAGGTGATCCTTCCAATCTGAAGATCAGTTTGGGGAACAGGCAGCCTTGTTTTACATTTAAAAAACTCCAATTACCATTGATTCAATGCCATATACTCCCAGGTAAAGTTGCTACAGGAATGTCAACTAAAGTGAAATTTGATGTGGATTTAAGGGGTATTTGGAGAAGTATTTCATTATTTTATTTAGTTCTGGTATTCCTAATCTGTGTATCAAGATTATAGCCTTTCCAACGTGTCTTACATTGGCAATGAATATATAATTTCATGAAAAATGTACAATCCAATTCACACTAAAACAGTCACTTTGAATATGTCTGATACCATAACATTCAATAAACACCATACAAAACAACCCAGGGGCAGCTTATGAAAGGCTCACCGCATCTAGTCTGAAGCAACAAGGGACTAGCATTCTGAGGAACCTCAAGGGGAGTGGGATAGAAGGGAGATCATGCCACTGTGAATTATAACAGTAAAAAAATTAAATAAATATCTCCGAACAAAGTATGTAAGTAAAAAAACCCAAAAACCCAAACAAACCCAAAGCAAACTGCACATAAAACATTGAAAAATATCAAGATGCATGAAGATGCAGCATAATTACAATATTTGTATCATAAAGATTTCATAAATATTGCAAAAAATACAATCACCAATATAATTCACCTACACATTCACACCACACAAAACTACACATCCACACTATGCAACACTAATCTAACACCCAGTCCCCTCGTGTACAAGCACTCAGCAATGCAGCCCCTGTAAAGGTAAAAGGTAAAGGAGCCCTGGACGCTTAAGTCCAGTCAAAGGCGACTATGGGCTTGCGGCGCTCATCTCGCTTTCAGGCCGAGGGAGCTGGCGTTTGTCCACTGACAGCTTTCTGGGTCATGTGGCCAGCATGACTGAACCGCTACTGGTGCAACAGAAGACCGTGACAGAAGCCAGATTGCATGGAAATGCCATTTACCTTCCTGCTGCAGCGGTACCTATTTATCTGCTTGCACTGGCCTGCTTTCGAACTGCTAGGTTGGCAGGAGCTGGGACTGAGCAACGGGAGCTCACCCCGTTGCAGGGATTTGAACCACCAACTTTCCGATCAGCAAGCCCAAGAGGTTCAGTGGTTTAGACCCCAGCGCCCCTATACCCATCACATCACCCCACTCAGACAATTCTCGTTCCAAGAAAGCACTCCAATGTTGAACTAACCAAGAATTTAATGATATTTGTGTGCAGAAAAATAGGCCCACTAAATAAAAAAGAATCCAAAAGCATTAGGGGAAAACAGCAAAAAGCGACACTCCTTTCCTCTCCATGTCTCACATGGGATGTCTCACATTGGTGGGTGAGTTTAATCAAGGGAGAGATGTTTGGTGCTTTTGTGTGGCTCAACACTCTGTAAAATATGAATCGGGTGCACATATAAGTCAAGCACCCTGTGGTAGCTGGTCCTGATTGTGGTTGTTAGGAAGGAGGGCATGTGTGCTGTGTCCTGTTGATGGCACTTACCTTTCTATAGCAGATGCTCTGGCGGGGGAGGGGGTGTGCGGACAAAATATGGGAGGAGGGTCAGTTGCGGGAGGAGTGTGAAATGTCCCTATTTTCATCTGAGGAATGTTGGAGGGCATGGAGGCTGCTTGAGGGCAGACAGAGGTTGGTGGGGGCACTGTCCCATTTGCCCCAGTGGGTCAACCTCCGCTGCAAGTATCCTTGGCCGATTTCTTGCCCCCGTGGCTGCTTTTCCGTAAAAGCCTTGCCTGGGCCTTTCATGTTTTTTAAGCATGCCATTTTCCACCACCACCCTGTCGCCAATCCTCGGAGGAGTCTGAAATATGTTTAGCTTTGCTTCTCTTGCTTTAACAAGAGCCATCATTTTAGTCTCTCAGCGGTTTCAAAAGACTCCTGTAGAAGGAAGATAAAGCAGACCCGCTTCAAAAAAGATGCTATTTACAACTAATGGCACTAAAGAAAATAACAGGATATAAGTACAAAATTCAAAATATTAGAGAGCAAGATGCACAGGTTTCTGCCTGCAGTCGTGTTTGGTTTGGTGTGTTTTCTTCTTCTTCTTTTAAAAGCAAGTCATACAATTAATGGCAACGCAAGGATGCGATTATTTCCCGATTCATCCCCAAATGGCTGTCATTTTGTTTCATCTGCGCCAAAACGTCTGGATGGATATTTCTATGGTAACTTTGGAGAAGGAAATGAAAAGATGCCACAAGGCAAGAAGAAAGGGGAGAAGATGCTAAAAGAACAACAGGGGAGGAAAAGGACCCAGCGAGACACTGATAGCAGCAGCCAACATTATCAACAAAGAGAATAGTTGCTAAAGGAGAAGAGAACTAGATTATATAGCATGAAAATTGTTCACAAATCTTGGGCAGAGCCAAGCTGTTTGTTCTGATCACATTTGTTTCCCTACTATATTTAGAAATTCTCCACTCTGATCACTGGTGGCCAAACAAACACTGAAAATTGGGAAAGGGGAATTGGGGGTGGGGGGTGGGAGGGAGGTGGAGGGAACTAAGGCAGGGTTGAAGAAAGGTTTTTCATCTCTTTTTTCTAAGGTTATTTATTTTATTTTATTTTATTTTATTGCTGCTGTCATAAAGTATAGGTCCTTTGATGGCAGCCTTGCTGCTATTTTATATCCCCCACAATGCCTAGGATATAGCATCATTCTAGGGTATTGTGAGGGAATATGGTTGACCCCACAAAACCAGAACAACTTGTAGAGAATATTTGGCAAATATTCAAGTAAATATTCCTCCCTTTCTTCAGGGAAAAGGAGATTCGGGGAGGTGTTCATGATGAGTTCCAGCACCTCTTTTTCTAGAAAAATAGGACTGCTGAAACTCACCCACACATGACAAAGTTCTAATAAAGACAGGTGCAGAAAACACCTGTAAATAAATACAAACCTAACCTAAAAAACTAGGACCCAAAGCGGGGGCAGTATAAGGAAAGTGGCACTTCCTAAGTAACTAAGGCATGGAAAATGAACCATGTTCATTTGTTTGTTATAAGAACGCGAATGGGATTGATAGGGAAATGATGGGAAGCAAACAAGTATAAGGTTGGAAATGGTACGGTGAAAGTGGAAGCCTTGAGGATCTGGAGCTGAGGTTTCCAAGCCCTGAGATAGGGCAATGACAAGGTTGGAGTCATGTGTGCAAAACTCACATTTCTGAGAGGGACACTCTCACACCTACGCAGGAAATGATGTTCTGCTGAACCCAACAATGGATATCCAAGAAAAGCCCTTGCTTCCCCTTCCGCTTTGGAGAAGCCTGTCTTGTTTCATTTGGTGTAATACCATTTCACGGCCGTGTTCGGCTGCTTCCATTATGTTTCATTACTCTATTGACATAGCAGAACACAAAATTACTGGCAAAACTGGAACTGTCAGATCAAAAGGATGGTGCCGCAGCTTGGGAAATAGAGCCAGTCAGCCATCTCTCTCATCCCTCATTTGACTATGTTGTCCAGGATCCTGCAGGTACAATTTTATCAGGTGGTCCACTCTACACCTTAGAATTGGGCCTTTAGTGCAGACCCACCAAGTGCCCCTATTTACCAGGGACAGTCCCAGATTTATGGAAACTATTTACAGAAATATTGCAAAATTAATGAATGTTAGAATGATGTCAGAATGAAGTTAAGTGGTTTTAGCAGCAATGTTATAAAGGTGTATGTAAAAATGGATTGTTAACAGGTGAGAATTCAAAGTTATAATAGATTAAGTTAAAGGATTAAGATAAAAACAAAGAGGGAAAGGAATTGCTGAATTAACCAATTGAACTGGAATACAAAAAAGGGAGGTGAGAGGAGGTCAGGGAAGCAAGGAAATGAAATGTAAGGTACGGAAAGATTGATTTGTTTTTAAGTGTTTTTTATTTTTTTCTCTGTATTTTGTATTTTGTATTTTTTCTCTTTTTTATTTTTTCTCTTGTTTCTTTTCTTTTTATCTATGTAATCTTCTGTTTCTGAAACTTTAATAAATATCTTTAAAAAAAAAAAAAAGACTCTGGTCCTATTCAGCAGGTCTCCATATGAGCAGCTATTGAATTCACACACTTTTTTGTGCGAGTGTGACTGTAAATATCTCTTCATACAAAAATCTACCTTCAGTGCATTTAAGTCTAAGGAGCTCAGAGGTGCTGGTTGAAGAAGGCTGCTTGTATTCTAAAGCCAAGGAATTTAAAAACAGCACTCCAGCAAAATGGTACTTAAAAGGGATTGGAAGGACAGGTCAATTTGAGGACAATTATCCCGTGCTGTTGATAATCAAGTTAATCTTATTCAGGCATTCACATAGAGGTGATTCCCATTGTGTGGAGGTGTGAGGAAAGGCTTGCTGGCTTTAGCCCTCTGTTGATGGTGCCATCCCACTACCCTTCGCATCTTGGGGTTAAATATCAGAGAATTGGCTCACTGAGGCATCCCCAAAATTGTGAAACACAGCCCTTTATCAGTGTGCCTTGCTATAACATCATATTTTTTTGGAAACTCGCCGAACTCATCTTAAAAACTGTGCTGCCAATTCATTTGCAAGGAACCTATAACAGCTTCCCTTGGGATGCTTCCAGTTTGTCGGCTGTTCTTGATGCAATACTTGCAGATCCGTTGCATCTTATTCGTTCCTAGGTTTCCGCTGGCTTTATGAGTTTCTGCAGATATGTTAATTTTGCAGAGCTTAATGCCACTTTCATTGTATGCCACTCCAGGAAGAAGAAAAAAAGCCATCTTTGCCCCCGCGGTTACAATAACATCTAATCCCATCTTCTGGGTATAGTTGAAAACAAATTAATGCCTCCACGATAAAGAAGTGATTTTCAAAAGAAGTGGTTTTGTTATGAGATGCTTTCAACATATTTCTGCTTTATGTCTTTGTATAGGTTTTGGGGGGATTTTCCTCTTCTTCAGTACTCGGCAACAAAAAGGACCAGAGGAGACAAATAAACAGCTAAATATGCATGACCTATTCTTTGTCTTTAGGTGATGTGAGCTGCATGATGGAGACTGCAGCTTCCGTTAAGTATACTCTTAAGCTTCTGATGGAGATACACATATGTTAAACAGAGGATGTTTAACTATTGGCGATTTAAAAAAAATATTTATTTCACTGCCTTGCATTTTCTCCAGAGGCTGAAATCAAACAAATGCTTTAAAAAGGAAATGCAGTTAAAAGTTTTCAGGGTTGTTCATATTCTGGCAGGTGCAGTTTTATAACCACTGTTCTAAGACAGCTTCATTGGCTGCCGGTTCATTTCTGTGCCCAACTTAAGGTGCTCATTCTAGTGTTTAAAGCCCTAAATAACTTAGGTCCCGAATATCTGATAGACAGCTAGCTTCCTTCCTGTAAGACCCTCCCAGGTGTTAAGATCAGTAGAGGTAGTTCCATCTCCCTCAGAAGCTCAGGGGGTGGTGGCCCAGGAGAGGGCATTCTCTGTGGCAGACCATAAACTGTGGAATTCCTTCCCATGCATGTTTGGGTTCTTCACTCTTGCAGTGTTTGATGATGCTGGACTTCTTTACCTTGCTCTTTGAGCTGAAAACAGAGCAGATAATGGCCAAGGAGTAATAGGACATTATGATATGTCATTGCTTCCAGGAACTTTCTATGGAAGAAAAACAGAGCTGCCTCCATGGGTCCACAGATTTGTTGAGAACTATGCAGAGTGAGTAGAGGAAGTAGGTAGGGAGAGCTTTGTCTAACCCTCTCAATATAAGAACTTGAGGTCAAATAATGAAGCTGAATTTAGGGCAGATAAAAAGGAAGTTCTTCACAAAGTACAGAGTTAAAATGTGGAATTCATTCGCAAAAGATGCAGTGATGTCCAACACCTTGGAAGGCTCTAAAACCAATTAGACAAATTTGTGGGGGATAAATCTATCACTGACCAGTAGTTATGACTGCTGCACATCCAGTATCAGAGTTGGTATGCCTCTAACTACTAGTTTAGGAGAAGGCAATTGTCCTCATGTCCTGCTTGTGGACATCATGTAGGCATTTGGTTGGTGGCCACTATGGGATACCAGATTCTGGACTACAGAGGACATCAGAACTCAAGTTCTTAGGATGGTTCAGGGGGGCTGTCAAATTTGCCAATCTATTTTGGTAAATAACGGTTCCAGGAGAGGCATCCCATTTTGTGTTGCTAGAGTAAGAAACAACAAAAACATCAATGAATTGCTCCTCTTTCATGGTGCCCCCAATCCTGTAACCTGAGAATGGGCAGCCTCATTCTTGACATTGGTTGCTGTCTGGAAGTCATCACCTAAATCCAGCAAGCAACACACAATTTAGCACGAATCGCAGTCAGGGTGGAATTTAGTAGTCTACTTTGTTCATTTGAGGCAATGACCCCATCACTGTAATAATTCACATTACCATATGGAAAAAGGCTCAATGATTGACCCTCTTTGATCTTCAGCAATGGATGGTGGGTTGGGACAGTAGCACTTACCTGACCCCCTGATAGGTGGGTCACTGCTGCTTACCAGGAGAGATGGAGGATGGGAGAGGCAAGGTGGTGAGGAGATCAGCAGTGTGTTAACATACTGGCAGGTGCACAGTATTAGCTCTGAGCTCCCAACTGCCTGTCCCTCCTACTTTCCCTCTCAGTGACCCACCTACTGGGAGGTCAGGTCAGTGCCATCACCCCACCACCCACTATTGTTATTTAGCAGGCAGCAATCTGCCTCTCGAAAATGATGCAAACATAACATTTCATTATTATCTCACTGTACTGATTTTAACTGGTGAAGATGCATAAAAGGGACAAAAGGGAAATCTTAATGAGTCATTTAACCAGCTTCAATAACAAGATGATTACACCGCCTAAGTCCTTGTTATTAGAAAAGGTCATTCCGATCGCATGAAATCATGAACTGTAGCAACTCCTACATTATTTCCATGCTGTAACAGCTTTGGCAAGCTTTCTTTTATTATTTGAGTTAATTTGGTTTAATTATGTTCTAATTAGCACAAACCAATTAAAAATACTTGGGCCAACAGTGATGTTAGGTAGTATATTAACCTGTTCAGATTGATTCTGAATAAATGGCCAACCTTACTATTTTAGGAACTTACATGTGTCCTGTTACTGGTCCCGCATCAGATAATCAGTTATAAGGTTAGATGGAGTTAAGAAAGGGGAAAGAGGTAAATCTGCTCAAGGAGCTCCATTGACTGTACATACACAAAACTCTGAAATATAAGTCCTGTGAATCTTTCAGTTTAGGTTTCTCTCAATTCCTCACTTTTCCAAGCTAAAGTTTGGTTCTTTGCATTTCTACATTAGCTTGTGATTTTATTTA